TTATTTTTTTCCAAACTTTGCTCTATTGTATTTTATTAATTTATTTGATTCTTTTTGTTAGTTTTTATTGTTTTTTATTTTTATTTTTATTTTTTGTTTTAAATATGGTTTTACATTATGTAAGCCATCTCGAGTCACCATGGGCGAATAGGCAGCAATATTAAATAAATAAATAAATAAACAAACAAACAAATAAATAAATAAATGTGTGTGTGTGTGTGTGTGTGTGTATGTGTGTGTTTATGCCCCCCCACATACATATACATACACACACACATGCTGAGCTTGTCAATAGAAAGGTCAGCAGTTCAGCGGTTCGAATCCCTAGTGCCCTGTAACGGGGTGAGCTCTTGTTACTTGTCCCAGCTTCTGCCAACCTAACAGTTTGAAAGCACCTAAGAAATGCAAGTAGAAAAATAGGGACCATCTTTGGTGGTAAGGTAAGAAGCGTTCTGTGCGACTTCGGTGTTTAGTCATACCAGACACATGACCAGGAGACCTCTACAGACAGCACTGGCTTTTCGGCTTTGTAACCGAGATTAGCCCCTTAGAGTTGGGAACAACTAGCACATATGTGCGAGGGGGAACCTTTACCTTTTTAAATCACTGTTGGGTTATTGTTAAGAAGCCAAACTGAGTTAGGAGAACCCAGACTCTAGCCTTTGTTTAGCCACAGAATCCAGCTGTGTGTTTTTGGACCAGTCATTCTGTCTGTCTGGGAAGTAAAAAAAACAACATTTATCTATCAACCTTCACTTCAATAGTACAATAGATGGTTCTCCCTGATTTTCAATAAATAGCCCTCATCCTACACTAATTAAATTTATTATGAGTTATTCCAAATGAGATTTCAATGAACGGGATAGTTATATTTCATTATAATCCTTTACAGCTATCAATATCAAGAATGATTCATTCATAAATTTCTAATAACAGAATACTGAAAAGTTGGGGCCAATGCTGATAAATAAGAACTCAAAGAATCCACTTTCTTTGTCAGATGTCAGTTTTCAGATGTTAATGACACAATTGATTTAGAGAGTTGTTAATAGAAACTGATCTATGCACTCTAAAGCACATCTCATATTCTGCAGAATAGGCAAAGGTCTTATAGTGGATATTGCTTAGTTATTGATGTATTCATGAATAAAGTGTTCTCTAAAAGCAGAAAGCTTGAAAATACTTTTTCCACTTTAGGTTATTTAACACATTTTCATTATTTATTTAAATCTTCCAGTTGTTTAGTAACTTTAAAAGTATGTCACCAATTGCTTTTAAAACTACATCCTGGTGTTCATATGTAACACCAGAAATAGAAACAAAGATCAGATTTTTTTGGAGGAACTCTAAGCCAGGTGCTATTTTCAAAGAGAATAATAATACTGGCAGTATATGTAATCTGCACTTTGGTAGTCCCAAAGCGTGGTTACATGTCAGTTTGATGGTGATGATCATCCTGAAGAGGAACATAGGACATTTTACCTTCAGCTTAGGTAACAAAAAAGCATATTCTTAAAGACCCCTAATGCACTAGTCCCGTGATGATGAATCTATGGCATGTGTGCCTAAAGTGGCACGCAGAGCCATGTCGCCTGGCACACACAGCCTTGCCTGTTTGTCTTCTGGGTTTCTGGTCTGCAAGTGCATGTGATGATCAGCTGTCCTTCACGTGCATGGCAGTGTCGAAAACCGGTGTGCACGTGAGCGCTGGCTAGCTGATTGTCAGGTGTGCATGCGCATCAGAACCCGGAAGTTTGGCTTTTCCAGAGCGAGATCCCTTCACATGCAGGCAATGCCGAAAACCGGCCTGCGCATGCACATCAGCTAGCTGATCATCAGGTACGCATGCATGCTAGAACCTGGAAGTTTGGCTTTTCCGGACCGTAGCCCCAATGAGCGTGTGTGTGCCACGTTTTTGCCATCACTGCACTAGTCCTTTGGGAAAAGCAGTAAGATTCATGTATCTCTTTTGTTCCTCTCTTCATCTTGCTTCTGCTTCTTATATTTATAATAGCATTAAATTATGTATTTGAAAGCTTTTCTCATAACTTCTTGACTAATTTATAGATGGGCATCTTAATCATTTCTTCTTCTGTACTTTATTTATTTTCTTGTTTGTGAGGTACAACATTTAGATTTATTATTCTTAGAGGCAAGATAAATGTGCCTTTCAAAGATTTTATAATGCAAAGGACTTGAAAGATTTCTATGCTTGAGAAGCATTTTTTTTAAAACTGGATTTTTGAAGAGGACAGATGAATATTGACTAACTGTTAAAATTTAATTATTTTTTCCTGTTTTAAATGTTTGAATATTTTTGAGTACATAGAAAAACTTCATAACTAAATACCACATATCTTATTTTTTTTTATTTTGAATGACTACTTGGGGCAATTTAATTTAATTGATATCAAAGAGAGTACTAGGAATATTGCAATTATCTTGGAGCAATTGTGTAGTTCAAAAATAGACCACAATTCAATGCTTATTGTGAATCAAGACCATTTGAGCATACCTGATCTGTGCTACTTGATGAAAACTAAGGGTTCGTCCAACTGAACTTGAAATATAGCATAGGAAGCAAGATACCTTGGCAATTCAGATAAATGGTCAAACCTGTTCTTTTTGTCTGACATATTTTTCTGCTGAAAACAGCATTAAACACAAGATTGTGGCCTAAGAGAAACAGTTTTACAATCTGATCCACGAGTAAGGATCCTGCTTCCCCTCTAGTAGGAAAAGAAATTGATTGTATTATGCCACTATATTATCAGATTCAATTATGATTTAATTAATTGGCAAGATTTCTCTAAGGTTTTGGATGGAAACTTTCCCAGCCCCCAGCCACCGCTAAAATTAATTTTGGACTTTGTGCATGCAAAACAGATGCTGTACTGCTGAGCATTGGCAGGCAAAATAGCCAATAGGCAGGTATTATGGGAGATGGCATGTAACAAGATGGAAAAGCTGACATATCCAAGATCTAATGCAACATTCATTGTCATAATTTGATTGGATTAAATTTAGAAACATTTATGCTTAGAATTAGACTTAATGAATTCACTGAGGCAAGGTGGTGTGTGTGTGAGAGAGGGAGAGAGAGATTTCATAAGAGGCTTGCCATTGCCTGCTCCCTATGGTAATGTGAGAGTGACCAGTCCAAGATCACCCAGTTTGCTTTGTGCCTAAGGAGGGAGTAGAACTCACAAACCATCTGGTTTCTAGCCTGGCATTTAACCATTATACCACACTGGTTTTCTATATTTAATTCCCATTGACATTGGTGCATTTGCTCTAAACATTATGCTCTGGATCCATTATTAGATTTTTTTTTAATGGAGTATCTCATCAAGGTATCTAGCCAACTTTCAAATCTATCCAGAGTTGAGCCTGGTGATTGTATGGGAAACCTCCAAGAAAACTCAGTTCAATAAGCAAACAATTAAAAAAAAACAAAATAATAAAAGGTAATACATTTACATTTTTAGTTTACTTTGACTTTCCTGGTCACTTATTTTAATTAGATAGGAAAAGAAATAGAGAAATTGTCTTCATTCGTGAGGAAAAGAAATGCTTTGAAATTGAAAAGGAAGTCCCTTGGAATCTATTTAAGGAAACTGCTTGATATCACAATTCTATCATGATAAAATGTTGTGTAGTTTTAATGTTTTCCTCTTATTTTTATACAAATGTTTAAAATGTTGCTGCCATCTAGAGGATTGAAATGTGATAATGTGTAAAGATCCGTTAGACATAGACATAGAATAACTTTATTGTCATTTATGGCCTGTCGGCCACCGGTCCCTCAAGCAGCCAAATCAGAGGAGGAGGAGGAGGCGTGAGAGCCAGAGTCAGCACCAGGGCAACTTGGGAGCTCTGAGGGGGAAGAGGAAATGGAGCTGGCAGAGAGAGAGACACACACACACACACACAGAGAGAGCGAGAGAGAGGGGGGCGGAGCTGTCAGCCCTCAGATGGAGAGTCAACAGCCCCAGGTTGATGAAGAAGAGGAGGAACAGCTGGGTCCAGTGCCTGATGTGAGGCTGCACAGAAGGCAGAGAAAAGGAGAGCACTGGAAAGCCTTAGGCCGATCCTGGGAAAGGAAGAGCCACCACTGCTAGCGAGGCCGCAACATAGCTCTAGGAATAAAAGGCAGAGAGCGGAGATGAATAGGTGTGGCAGACAATTATTAATCTTCCGGCCAGATAAACTTGTTTGCCTGCAAGAGAAACTTTTTGCTGGGGCTGCCGGCATTCCTGAAAATGGAATCTTTTGAGTTCACGTCAGAGGATTTGTTGTGTTTGGCGAGCTGGGTCAGAACATCACTTTGAGTGTACGCTAACCAGCATACATTAAAATGAAATTTTGTTGTATAAAGCTCTTAAAGAGTCATCACCTCCAATATTTGCTACATAAACATGACAAAATAAATAACCAGACATACAAAATTATGCATATACCGACATATATTATATGACGAGAAACAATACAGTCTAATTCGGATGTATACATGTACATAAAGAAGAATGAATTAGTAGAGAGAGAGAAAGAGGGAAAATAGGATTGTCAACCTCCTGGGAAGATATATTTATTTATAGAAATTATATGAAAAATTAAAATTAAAATTCAGAAAAGCAAAATGCAGAAATTATATGGAAAATGAAAATAAACAAATATTATTGCTAAACCAGCATATACAATTATAATCATCATTAGGCAAAGGTGGTAGAAAACTGTGAGTTGCATTTCATGGAGGCCCCTTCTGTAAGAACATCCCCACCACACCACACAGACAAATGTATATATTGTACTTGTATATTGTGTATGTATATAGATATATATGTATATAAATAAATATATCTATGAAAATTTCTGTAACATTCAAAAAGCTTCTTTTATTGAGCTGTTTTTAAATGATGGCAGGTGGCCTAACTTGGGAGTAAGTACATATGGATCAGTAAAATTGAGTAACCTGATATATGTGTCTTGGTTTCTTTCAGATTGTGCAGGCTGTGGAAGAGATATAAAGAATGGACAAGCCTTGCTTGCTTTGGACAAGCAATGGCATCTTGGGTGCTTCAAGTGCAAGGCCTGTGCGAAGGTTCTAACTGGAGAATATATCAGCAAGTAAGTCTACATAGAAATTAAATTGTTTAACAGGGTTTTTAAATAACTGGCATTTAAATCCTTTACAAAATATCTGCTCTTTATTCAGGTGTGAATAATTTTTCTGCCCCGCAGAACTTATTCCTTTAAAACAAGGGTGTCAAATTCATGTCGGCATGGCGGTGTCATGTGATGTATCAGGACTTTTTCCCCTTCACTAAACTGGACGCATCAAGCCCACAACCAGGGATTTGACAGCCTCGTTTTAAAGGAAGCATCATTTGAACCGTGGAGACAGAAAAAACACTTGTGCGTTATGTCATCTCCCATGTGACATCACATCAGAACATGTAAGATGTTCTCAGAATGCTGAGAAAAACATGTCAGAGGTATATGCTTACTTGATTTGTCATGTTGTTATTACAATGTTCTTTGGGGCTAAATTAGGCCAAGAGATGGCTACTTAATGAGTTTGCTAGCTGAAGAGAAATTTAAACCTGGATTTTCTTTGCCACAATTCAACCCTTAATGTTTACATTCTCTGACTGTCAAAATTGTATTTATGTTGAATGGTAATAAGTGTAGGGTGAGACATGGCTGATGAGAAATCTGACAAGCTGTGTACCATAATGCCTTCCTTATGTTCAACCCAAAATATGAGGACAGCCAAGGGAATGGATGTAAAATAATGTGTATTGTATGTAGTGTTAGTGAAGCTAATTTCTATTTTGTGGATTACATTCAGAGATGGTGCCCCTTACTGTGAAAAGGACTATCAAGTTCTCTTTGGGGTCAAATGTGAAGCATGCCACCAATTCATCACTGGGAAGGTTCTAGAAGTAAGTAATATGTAACTTTATGTGTAGTTGTTTGTTATATACATAAACGTATGTATATGTGTGTATTTATTGATGTGTATTTTATGTTACACAGGAACAAAAGATACATATTATTTTATGTAAATAGACTATGATCAGGCTTCATGTTTTGAAAAAAAAATCTACATGTTGTTTGACATCAGAAGCAATGAGCAGCAAGGCCTTTACACAGTGAAGATATCTTTGGCATATTTTATCTTATACATATAGCCTATAAGAATCTTGACAACTCAAGATAACAATGAAATAACTCTTTATTAACTTGTAGTTGTCGTCTGAATATAAATACTCCAGCTTTTCATGATAAGGTTGAATTATGTGATACAAAAATATATAGTAAAATTTAAAGGTTAACAAAAGCAACCACTACCCAAGTACACTTAACTTTCAGTATAAAGGAGAGGGAGGGAAGACTGTTGTATAGTGCAATCCAGCTTCTATTCCTGTTCCTCTAATCTCCACCATTAATTTAAAAATGAAGCATTACTACAGCAAAATGGAGATATTTTTGACATTTATGATGTTTGAATATTTTCAAATTTTGGCTACTATTATTTTAAATGTTTGTCCATCTTTGTGTACTTTTTCACAGTTTCCTCAGTATATTTTATTCAATACTCCATAGTAAGATCTACATATATGTTGTAAACATACAGTATTTCACTTCACTTATAGTAAAGGTAAAGGTTCCCCTCGCACATACGTGCTAATTGTTTCCTGATCTAGGGAGCAGTGCTCATCTTCATTACAAAACCAAAGATCCAGTGCTGTCCAAAGACATCTCCGTGGTCATGTGGCCATCATGACCAAACACCGAAGGCGCACGGAACGTTGTTACCTTCCCACCAAAGTGGTCCCTATTTTTCTACTTGCATTTTTTCATGCTTTGAACTGCTAGGTTGGCAGTAGCTGGGACAAATAATGGGAGCTCACTCTGTTACGTGGTGTTAGGGATTTAAACCGCTGAACTGCCGACCTTTCTGATCGACAAGCTCAGCGTCTTAGCCACTTACAGTCACTTATAGTAAGGAGCACTATAATAGTAGAAAGTAAGCACCAGAGGGCAGCACCAGATTTTGTAAGGAAGTGATTGTATGGACAAAGACTGTAAGTAACTAGATTTTGAACCCCAATTCTTTTTCATAACAGTAGTTTAAAAGATAATAGAAGCATGATATAATACTTCCGAATATGTACAATTTTGTTTTGAGAAATAGAGGAAGGCAGCTAAAGTAATTTGCATTTTTAAATTTATCGACTCTTAATACTTAATTGAACATATATTTAATAAATTCTAAATGTTTAGCAAAATATTTTAAAATGACAAAAACAGTGTATGATATTTAAATTACAGTGAAAGAAGGCAGAAAACATAAATCAGTCAATGGAAATAAACTAGTTTAAACTACCTGAAGTTGAAAAAAAAGCCAATTGTGTTTCTATTGGGAATTCATTCCCCAGTCAAAGGGCCACCATTAAAAATTGTCTCTCCTTTTTTGATATATTGGAAAATACTGCCCTATGACAACTGGAAATTTGGAAGAGTCACTTCTTACTTTATTTGGATCCAAGTCTTTTATAAAGACTTCTAATTTTGTAAGGAATTATAAAGATAAATACAAAGGGTGTGGATCAGTTTTGGCTGAATGTGGGATCTCAAGATGAAATAAGATGTTTTGGAACAAATCTTTTTTTCCTAGGAGTGGAACTGATGGCTTGAGTTCATTTTATTGTAATACTGGGCCTCTAGGATGCTCACATTCTGATTTGTTTATCTAGAACATTGTTTCATTATAAAAATGGTCAGGAAGCAGCTGCCATTAGTAAATAGTTTTTGTTTTTTTGTGCAAAAAGAGATAAGTATTTGGGCAATGAATCATAGAGGGAATTTTGATTTTAAAAAATGCTTATTAAAATGTTCCACACATCACACATACGAGAGAGAGAGAGAAAGAGAGAGAGAGAGAGAGAGAGAGAGAGTGAGTTCTGAACACCCATTTGTTTGCCAAAAATGAACATTGATCTATCGGTCTAACTTTGTGCAACAGATAGATTATCTTGTGCAAGGTTGGATTTCTGTTTTGTGTGTGGATGAGAACAAGGAGTTATAGAGATGCCAGTCTTAATTATGCCTATTATCATTTTGAAGAATCCAGACCCAAGCCATTGCAATTGCAATTATCATTGTTCCCAAACACCTCCCCACCCGCCAAAATTCCCCACCACACAAGCATCCACACAACAGGCCAAGTAATCCTGTCCAACAGGTCACTGATGGTGGTACTTAAGTTCATTGTTAAGTGCAATTATAGCACTTAACTTATTGCCCATCACAGATAATATGGACATCCTTGGGGAGCAAGAGTTCAAATGACAACATTACAGTATGCGCAAAACTGTTATTAGAGCCACTATGGTAATTGTAATCAGTGAATTCTGTATCCGATTCCTTTAGTAGCTTTGAATTTAAAATTGGGTTTTTTAAGACCACATGGGGAATTATATCACTTGTTTTCAGTTCAAGAAAGATACTTGACAGGTGTTACCTACATTTATATCTGTCTATTTTTCCCACTAGAATTTGCTTAATTAGAATTATATCAGTATTTTTTTCCCTTAAGGAATAGAGTCTCACTGAAAAAGAATTAAGCTGCTGAATCTGAAATTACAATTAACTCAACCTAGTTGCTAACCCACTTAGATTGCAGATTTAGTAATGAAAAATAGATTTAGTAATGAGCTAAATATTTGCCAGAGAAAATTGAATGCATTAAACAATAAAAATAAATACATCATACAAAGTTCTCCCTGATTTTAAGTTGTTTTCCAACGTAAGTTGTAATGACCCAAATTATATATACACAGTAAACATAGTATACACAGTATACATAGAGGACTACGTTAAATAGATATTTGCGGTTAAATGTTCTGGTCACGTAAAGTTGCAGTGTAGCTTGATAGGAATCTTATCAAGATAATTGAATTAAATGCAATTTTAAAAAAAGTCAGTTATAAATGTAAGGACTCTTGAATGTGAACAGAAGGGATTTAGATTTAGGTTGTAACACATATCAACTCAACATACAAAGTACAGTTTATTGAATATCTGCTTCTTTGAGAAGAATTGATCCTTTGCTTTGCTTGGTACTAGAAGAAAGCCCTAATCCCCAAGATTCTAGCTTCAGCGGGAACATTCAGGAGCAACATTCTGAACAATTCTACTAAAATTACTACATGTTACATAAATGTAGACAAATGGTACTGTCTCACCTTAAGCAATAAACATCCCCTTTTCTTTTTTCCATAATGGATTGGTCCGTTTATTGCTAGCTTCAACCAAAAAGCTAGAAAAATCTCTCTGTTTCTGCCCTGTGAATGACTGATCAGGACCAACTACAGAATTGTGAAGAGAGTGCTGTGCTTCTCGATTAGGAACAATATTGCCAGAGTTTTCACTGTGATAAAATGATCTGGAAGTTGTTTCATGTCAGCAAGATGACTCTCACAGTTATTTAAGGGAGTCAGAGAGAAATGGAAGATGCAACTCCTTGAATGATGAAGTTTTAAAACATATCAAAGAAGTCTTAGCAGAAGGTAAATTAATTTTCCTGAGAGAATTGTTGAATATGCAGCATTACAATTATTTTAATAAAGCATGCAACTTTAAAGGAAGAGACAAATGGGGGAAGGAAAGTTGGGATGACTGATCCAACTGTTGTTACCATATAACAAATAAATAACTAGAACAAAATACATGTATGATATATGAATTTGGTGTGACTTCTTGTCTTAAGAAGTATAGATATCAAACTGTGCCATGCAAGGAACAAATAGAGTGTGTTGGTGTATGTGTTAAATCTTTTAAGATTTCTCATTAACCAATGCTATTTCTATTTATCTTAAAAAATATGACACATGGGCAAATGTTTCACTATTTAGTTTACATAGAAGCAACCATGAATATATTTATGGAGAAATTAAAAAAAATAATACATCAATGTGGGAGAAATATTAAAGCCTATGTACTTACTTTAAGTAAACATATAGAAAGTCAGAAAGTAATTATAATTCATGTGAAAGAGATATTTTTAACTTAAAACTGATGACATGTTCATGCACACACATACACAATCAATACACAGGATGAATATTGAGATAGATAACAGCCTACTTTTAATCATTAGTAATGTATGTCCAGATTTATGAATTAGTTTACAAAAATGTTCTTTTAAAAGAGGTAGGTTTGTTGTTGTTTTTCATTCTATTATAATTAATTATGCACTATTGTTCTTAAAGAGAAGTAGGATATCAATGTTTTGAGAAAAGTAATTATCTCTAGTAGGCATTATGGTATCTATATATAAATACTGATTACAGTTTTTGCTTTTGATAAAATTGTGTGATTCTGATCTACTGCAACCAGGAGCATGTCTACAGATATTTTTCAGTTGTACAAAGATTTCAAGATTTCATGCTTGACCAAATTTCAAATACAAGATTTTGAAAAACGATCAGCAAAAGCTTTGGGACAGGGATTTGGGTACCAGTCTGTGGCCTGATTTCTATCAACATCAACCAACACATTTGCACATTGCTAATGAGCACCAATAGAGGACATTGAAGCAGAATCTTGAAGCATACATTATATGAAACTGAGATAATATTTTTGTAGAAGCTTGTGACTGTTTGTAGCATTTAAGGAGACAGAAAAGATTTTCTATGTGAGCTGTTCTCTGAGATGTATTTATTTATTAGGTTTTTAGCCAATCTTATTATTTTATAAGTAACTCAAGACTTTGAAGTACATAATACTGCCTTCTCCTTCTATTTTCTCTACTACAATGACCCTGTGAGATGGATTGCGCTAGAGAGAGAATGCTGGCCCAAAGTCACCCACCTGACTTCTATGTCCAAGGCGGGAACTAGAACTCAAAGTCTCCTAGTTTCCAGCCTGATGTGTG